CACCATGAGCAACCACTCCAGATTCTGTCTGGGCCGGTTTTAATAAATTCCCTTTCATGTGTGTTACTATGGACCTCTGCACCCTGCATTACAAACTCCTCACAGAAGAAGCAGAAGGGGAGTGGAACAAGATTGGGCGCGGTTGAGGAGCCCTGAAACCATGCTGGGTGACAGAGTCCTAGCTAGTGTTATTACACACAATTTTTGCTACCTACAAAGGCCTTCAAACTAGGGATGCACCGATACCAATACCAGAGCACTCGTGAAAATGCTGCGATACTAAAAACTGATACCGGCACTTGAGTTTTTCAAATTGATTTGGTTGCCTTCGATCTGGCACCTGCTGGGGACCTCGCGGCATCCTTCTGGGGAACCACGCGGCGCCTGCTTACAGTGCTTCTGCCACCCGCACATCCTCCCTATGCTGAGACCCTCAGCACTCCTCCTAATACCCTCCCCCACCTCTCCTGAGACACTCTGCCTAAGACATCGGGCCGGCACCCCGGAGCAGAGTGGCAGCACAGAGTATGTAGCAAATTCATATACTATTATTCTGCATTGCTGGGATTTGTTGTTCTCTATAGCCGCCGCCGGTGCCATTCTGCATTGCTGTATAATGTATTGCTGGGATTTGTTGTCCTCTATAGCCGGTGCCATTTTTCATTGCTGTATAATGTATTGCTGGGATTTGTAGTCCTCCATCACTGATATTATTCTGAATTGCTGTAAAATGTATTGCTGGGATTTGTTGTCCTGTATAGCTGGTGGTATTCTTTATTGCTATATAATGTATTGCTGAGATTTGTAGTCCCTCTACAGTTTGTGGTCAGTGGCAGAACTACCAGGGATGCAACAGTCGTGTGCATGCAGAGCAGTAACGAGGGATCCCTTCTCTACCGCTGTGATATAATTTTCTTCTGCCCATAAAATTTTAGGACCATGTCACTTTCAGGTGCGCATGAAGAAAATACATCAGGAAAACAGCTGATTTGGTTGGCCTGGCCGCACCGGAAGTGATACAATCGAGAAATTTTATGGGGTTTGAGAAAAATTATAGGACACCCGCTGTGAAATTGTCAGGCTCCTCCCACAGCTCACAGTCCAGAAGTCTGGACAGCCAGCGGCGGCCTACAGCTGGTGAGAGTGCCTAAGTACTGGGCATGGAGCGTAGAAAGGATGGTCCCTGGGCCAACATTGCCAGTCAGCCCCTGGTATGGAGTTGAATTGTTGAGGTGAAATCTTCTGGATACTATGCTTTCAATATGTTTGTTTCCATGCCTAAGCGTAGCAGTTTCTTGTCCAGACTTTGGTTACTCCTGCTGTATGTGACCCTCGAGGGGTCTTTTTAAATAATTCACAAGAAAGAATTTCAAAATACTAATTTTGCCATAACGGACCTCTTATGAAAATGCTAATGGGTTTGGCTGATTCAGAATGTCACGAATAGAAGCCTCCACTTTTCTATGACATGACATGACAGGTTAACTTTCAAACGGCCCTGTCAGGGTAAAAATCCAAATAAAGCCAGGGGGTCCTGAGATACTCACGGACGGTGATATTCTTCATATTGGCAGCAAAAATGTCTGTAGCAAGAAAACCCCCACTGTGTCCTTATCATTCAGGGTGCAGGTTGAAAAATGCATCTGGTGTGTAATGGGCCTTAATCTAAAATTTCTCAGATAATGACACATGAGGAACTTGCCAATATACTTAAAGGTAAACAACACTTCGTAAACACCTGGGACCCATCGATACAATATATCAAAGTGCAGACTGGTCCATGAGAGAAGGCTATTGTAAAGGCTGTTCTAGGTCTTCGTCTAACACACCATCCCCACCCCTGTCCTTTCTTTCATTTGTTTGACACTTTATCTTGTTGTTGTCATGGCTCTGTAGTTGCTAACTTGATGGCAGCACCAGTACATGGGCCCAGCACTGAGACTGGTATACAACAACATTAGGTTTTCCTGTTTTGCAATTTCAGAATGTACAACATTGCAGTGAAGATCGATGTCCTCACTGTTTTATTTATTTGACAGCTTGGACCAATGGCGCTTTGCCATTGGTCCAAGCCATTCACAGAGCTCTAACACAAAGTAGAGGCTGTTGCAGCTCTTGCCTCGCTATGTTAGGTTACACAAGCAGTGTGGAAGCCCGCTGCTGTGTAACCTAACTTAGTTGTCAAAAGCGGATGCAGCGCCGCCCGTAATTAACAGGCAGCGCTCCGTCCATGACAGGTTACACAGCGGGGAGGCTTTTTCTGTTGTGTAACCTGTTACAAGCCACTCTGAATGATTTGAAGCTGACAGCTTTTTCCTTCATAGTACAGAGCCTCACCTGCCTCCCCAGACTGCACGTCCCTGCAACATTGGTCCATGTACATCTTAACCAGTTGACATCCGCGGTGTTAAACCCCCTTCCCATCCAGGCCATTTTTCAGTATTCAGCGCTGCGGTACTTTAACTGACATTTATTCCGTCATGCAGCGCTGTACTGAAATGAATTTTATACCCTTTTTTGGGGACAGATAGAGCTTTCTTTTGGTGGTATTTATTCACCACTGGGGGTTTTATTTTTTTACTATATTAAGGAAAAATTACCAAATTTTAAAAAAAAAAACAGTTTCCCCTATATTAAATGATAAAACATTTATTATTACCCAATTTTTTGGTAAAATATAAAAGATGGGGTCACGTCGGGTAAAAAGACACTAAACATGTCAAGCCTTAAAATTGCGTGCGCGCGCGAAACCTCAAAAAACGATAATACCCAAAATTGGCCATAGGCGACGCTTTAAAAGCTGTTACCGCTCATCAGTTTAGTGTTATCAGTGATTGATGGCCCTAAAATGATTGCTCTCACTGCGACGTTCGCGGCGATATGTAACATGTGTAGCGCAATTGTAATTTTTGCGCGCTGGGGCACCGGACGCGTATTTACGTTTATAGGCGCGTAAACGTGGGGGTGGGGGAGTTAAACATTTTGGGGGGGTTTTTTCCCCTTTTTTTATATGTGACTTTTATTTTATTTTACTTTTTTATGTGTTACTTTTATTTTTTTTTATTTATATTTTTTTTTTTTGCACTTATTGTTATTGCTATTATATAGGGGGATAACAACCCCCTATATAATAGCAAAGGCACACTGACAGGTCCTCTTTATGGAGATATTAGGGGTCTCTAGGACCCCTAATATCACCTATGGACCCCAAAAGAAGCTGATAAAGCAGAGATCTGCTTTATCAGCTTCTTCTCTCTCCAGATGACTGACAGGTGAATGCGGAAGTGATGTAATACAATCACTATACAGTCAATACAATCAATACAGCCGCGAACGAGCACATATAGGCGATCGGCGGGCTATGGACCCGCTGATCGCCTATATGTGTAACACCCGGTAACGGGTGTGTGCACTGATCGGGTCTTTTCTGCCCGTGCGTGCCCGCTAGGGGGCGCGCGCGAGCAGAAAAAAATTGCCGTCTGGAGACGGCAACCCGCAGATGCAGCAGTGCCGTCCGTCCGTTTTTTTACTACGGGCGGACGGCAAGAGGTTAAGCATTGATCATTCTGCTACACGACTGGTGTATACTGTATGTGCATTAAAAAAAAAGAAAAATCTAAAAACCCAGATAAAGGTGTCTTGCAATAGAACTGTAGAGGTGCACAATCAACAGTATCTTTTATGGAAGGGATTGGGGGAAGGGAGAGCCTACATTCTAAGGATAACAGACTAATTGTGCACACGGTTATAGGAATATGGTGGCTGTTCCCTAGAGTGTGCTTTGTCTGGTTTTATTTGTCACCTCTCCTTCCTGCGGCTTCTGAAAGGCTCTTCAGCATTCAACACTTCTGGGTTTGTAGGAGGCCTTTGTCCCCTGCCACATGCTGTGATTCCAGCCTCCAACCCCTACATCCCTGCTGAGTTCTGTAGTCCACATTTTTGTTTTAACTTTATAAGATCGCTTTATCCTTTTTTAAGCGGGCTGCAGGGACCCGTAAGAATAAAGTAAATTACAAGTTGTACCTCTTTCACAGGAATTTTATAGACTGGGGCCTCTGGGAAAACAAAATATGGACTTTATATTGCAATAAATAAGAGGTCAATCCGGTCTTCACTTCAGCTCCCTCTAGTGGTGGCCCAGAGCAGCTGCTACAGGAAGAAACGATGTAAACAGACTGCTTTACAGTGTATTTCCACTTTTGCAGTCAAATTTGAGAAAACCCCTCTATATGTTTGTTATGTGTTCTCATTCACACAGCATAACTAAAAATAGTTCTAACCTTTCAGATGTTTTGTTGTAGCAGGGAACATGGCTGAATTGCATTTTTTCTGAGCACCTACACAGTGATCTGCCCATATAGAAAGACATAGGATTGACATTTGTCGATTGCGTTTCTCTCATTAAACTGATATTAAACCTTCATCTTTTGTTCTTTTTAAGATTAGGAGGCCCACACTTACATGAATTCACTGTTCTGCTTTAAAGTTTATTTATTTCCTCATCCTCTAGTTAGTCCTCAAACCCCTACCCCCCATGGCCTGTTTAGGGGTACCTATCAGGCACGGAATGGAACAGCATGCACACCCAACCACAATCAGTACAGATACCAGTGATTGCTTAATCTCTAGTATAGCTGACCCATGGCTACTATGTGGCATGTGCAGCTAATCCCTAGCCAAGCTGAATGCAAGTAAATGATCTGGAACTGGGGTAGGCAAACTCGGGCCCTACAGCTGTGGCCAAACTACAAATCCCATGATACCCACCATGCATCTGCTTCTGGGAGTCATGTCTGCGACTGTCAGAGCCTTGCAATACCCAATGGGATTTGTAGTTGCACCACAGCTGGAAGGCTGTAGTTTGCCTACCCCTGCACTAGAGGCACATAAATAGAAGCGTCCTTAAAAACAAACTGTAAATTAAAGTTAATAGATTTTAAATGCATAACATTGATATGGTGGCAAGTAATGTACAAGGAATCAAATATATTTATTATTTACAAAAAAAAAAATAGTTGAGGTAATTTGGTCCTATGAAGTCTGATGCTTTCCGTATTTATAAATCTAAAAAGGCAGTTATTGTAAAAGCTTCCTCGCTATAATAGTGATTCGCTGTGCACGTCACTGACAGACTAGCTGTAACATCTCCTCTGTATCCAAGATCTTTTCACGAGGCTTTCCTACTTCCGCACCACGGGCCGTCTCTACTGCATCTATCTTCTCCCAGTCAGAGAAAGACACGGGCTGGATACCTGTAAAGAGAGAAAAGTTCCTTCATAGTTCTTTATTTTACTTTTGTACAAAACGTAAAAAATATGCTAAGAAAGGAAAAAAGAAACATAAAAGAAACAAAAGTGAGAGGAAGGTAGATGTCACAGCAATCGGGGAGAAGTGCCGGTATATTTTTACAGCAACTAAACTGAAAAATTCAGTAAATTCATCTGTAGGCTTATGTCAACTCAAACAATTTCTTATAGTAAAGTGAACCTGGGTTCATGCAGGGCAAATCAACAGTTCCATCTTAATGGACAAGTATTGGGAGAGTGAAATGCACTCTTCCCAATACTTAGAGCCGGTATGAGACACTGCAATTGTCACACGCTAGCTCTAAAGATCGAGAGCTGAGTGAACACAAACCACTGATCGCTGTTTTCTCCCTGCAAATAGCGGTGACTATCAGTCACTGCTCCCTGCAGAGATTACCTCCTTTACTCTCCGTTCTTCCAGTGTTCTTTGGAGAGACAGAAAGGGGAGGGGGCGGGCAAAGCTGACTCTATAGAGACACAGCCAGCTGTCAATCAAGCGGCAGGTTAACACTGACAACATTGTTGGGATCCTTCTCGGCTGCAGTGGGCAATAGCCCACTATATTCTAAGTTTGGGAAAAAGGAGGACATTACCCCGTTTCCCCAAAAATAAGACCTACCTCGAAAATAAGACCTAGTTGTGACCATTCCCGGGGCCAGTGGTGGCATACGGGGCAACTTGAAGAGCCGTGGGAGAGAATCAGCGGTGTCAACTAAGCCAACCCTAGAGGAAGCGAGGCGGCAGTGAAGGGAGCAGAGCCGCATAAGCCGATGCTTCCTCTATAGTGCCCACTCCTGTCACAGGCGGAGTGATACTTTTGCGGAGTGTATCACTCCGCCTGTGGAGTGATACTCCGCCTGTGAGGAATCGATAGTGAAAGCGCGTTTCGCTCATTCTGGCCAGCGATTGGTTACCAAATTGCTCTCGGAAATGTACGACACCCCTGATCACCCTATTCTTAACTTTGCCACTCACTCCTGTCTTGTAAGTCTTCTACTGGTAATACGTGTGGATTGTTGTACATTAAAAAAAAATAAGACCTACCCCGAAAATAAGACCTAGTGCGTTTTTTTGAGCCAAAAAAATATAAGACAGTGTCTTATTTTCGGGGAAACACGGTAGTAAATGTCCTCCTGTGATCCAAAAGAGAACTAAAAAAAAGGTTTGGCTATAGTTCTCTTTTAAAGCTAACTACCAGCTAGCTAACTACGCATACTTTACTTTTTCACAGCATTGTTCGGCTGATTGGAGTTATAAATAGAAGTCCTATATAAGCTCTAAGTTAGGATTTTCACAGGGCTGATTACTCCTCCACCCCCGTGTAACAGCTATGAGTGCCTGAGTGGCCATTTGTCAAGCACAAGTGCTGTCACATAAGAAGGGGAATTTATTACATATTCCCCAATACCTGGAGGTACCAGATATTTTTTATCTTCGCTCTAGGCAGTGAACTAGCTGTGGTTGTAAGAAGGGAAGGCGAGCTGCAGCAGGGGCTGTCATGAAAAAGGTTAAAAAAAATCAGTACCCTTGCTGCAATACATGCAAAATGTTATCATATTCGGTTTCTTTAAACATGCTACAACTGTTAAAGGCATAGTCTTTAAAAAAATAAATAAAACACATTAAATAAAAGAAAAAAAAAATAGCTTTATTGATTTTTTTGCACTGCAGCCTGCAAAGCATTGCAACAGCGATCAGTGGGTCCATGAGTGCAATGCTCTGGCTCCTGCAGACTCTTTCTCCAGCCCCTGTCCATACTGAGGTAAGGACCTTCAGTTGAAGTAACGGGAGGAAGTGTCAATGAACTAAAAGTGCCGTGACGTCACTGCACTTGTACTCCATTGGGAATTACAAGTCCCACTGTTGAGCTGGTGATGAGACTTGTACTCTCTCCATTTACAGCTCCTGGCAAAGAATCTGAATGGATGACATAGCTGTGCATGGCTCCACACCAATTTCAAACATATATGGAATCACAGTGAGCTAACATCCTGTGGAGGAACACCTCTGCCTTATGTAAAGTAAATGTGCTCTGTAGTCCAGCAGAGCAGAACCAGACAGGGTTGATCACAGTGCAACTAGGAAATCAATGCAGCAAAGGCACCATGTTTGGAAGGTATGGAACCATAAGATCCCTAAAACAGCTGGTTTGGTGTTGCCCAAAGCTGGTCTGTTACTGGAAATTAGTCACATTGATCTTGAATTCAGTATTCACAGTTTCATTTACGAATCCTCCACTCACCTGCATTCTGGGATCATTTGACTCATCCCCACTGAACTCCAATACCACTACTGCTCTATCTAGAACACCTTTTGACGCAACCAAAATGATGGTTCTAAAATGGATCTCTGATGTCCCACCATCTGTAGAGGCATGGATCTTGCAACTCGATAGGCTATTTGCCTTCAAGAAACTTGCTTATCAACATCAAGGTATCTTTAAAAAATACTTGTTATGTAATAGCTGCTTGAACTATAGGGCTGGTTCACCAACTGTATTATTCTTTATTCCCCAGTTTACTATTTAAATACCTATATGCTTGACAACAGGTCTCTGTAATATATCTTTATAACATCCTTATACTATCTATGTACCCTGTAACTGTATGACTTTTACACATCAAAGAATACTGTATTGATTGGCAACCTGCCCTTAGTGTGCGAGTAACACAGAGGATTGTTCTCTTCTTTGCACCGAATGTGATGACTCTGTTCTTATTTTCTCAGTTTTTGTTTATATATGCAGAACTCTTTAAAAAAAATCTGAATAAAATAAAATTATACCTGCCATAGAACAAATATGGAAGCTACAATTGCTCACTGTTCTAACCATCCCCTATTCTATTCAAGAAAAATTTTTTTTTTTACTTTAGATAAATTGTAGGAGAAAAGAAAACACAAGCAGAAATTGAGAGCCACAAACATAAGCGTTGTTCTATATTTATTCTACATACCTCTGAGAAGAAGAAGCTCACTGATCGCAGAGGCTCCAAGTCGGGTCCCTGAACAGTCCAAAGCACCCGATTTTATGTCCTCCAACAAAGACTGTGCTGTGTCAAAACTGTCATTCATTGTTGTAGCGATGACACCGGTTGGACCTCTCTTCACCCAGCCACTGCAGTAAAGTCCTGCCAAAACAGATCACGTAACCAGCCAGAACACATGACACCATGGTACCAAAAGGGATATATAAAAACACAAACCTGGAGCACCCTGCACTCTGCCCAAGCTGTTTGGGATGATCCCATTCTTATGGAGGAAAGGAACACTTGGAGAGATCGGAACACCTATGTATCCAATGCTGCTGAGAATTAACCCACAGGATATGTCCTCCGTTTCTCCTGTAGAAACAGCAACTGCGTTCTCCCCATTGCCCTAAGGAGCACAAATTGTAAAGTTAACTTCAACTTTCCACTTCATCGGAATCTTTAATAACAAAATATAACAGTAAAAATTGATGATGTATGTGGGGGCAAACAAAATATTTGGAATGATGGATGCACTATGTTGCAGGGCCAGGGGGGAAAAGGATGGAAGGGAGCAAACAAGCTGTTTACTTTGCAAGGGAATATTCCCAAAATGTAGTGAATGAGGTAAAGCTTTGCTGATTTCCATCATCCAATAATGTGCAAGCTAAACAAAATAATTTTTTTTTTTCTTGCACACAAATTCTTTGCAATTTTTACCACATTCCCTCAGCTAAAGAAAACATCATTTAAAAGTAAAAATTCCCTTGCAAAGTGAACAGCCTATTTGCCTTTAAATAAATCAACCCCCAAAAAGTCCTCCATATATGTACAGAGAGGGGACTCATACTGGAAAGGTGATGTACCATATCAACATACCCATCAACACAGCAGTATAGAGCAACAGGCATGAGCTCTAACTGTTGCAAAACTGAAGGATCAGTTAAGATTGTGTCAGGAGCTTCAAACATATCCTTAGTCTTAGCCCTCAAGGTCTGGCAAATGGCCGCGATAGCAATGGCAGGTTGTAGATGTCGTCAGGTCCAAAAGAAGGAATGCTGCAAGCTTCTCATGAGCCATTAGTGGAGCAAGAGCTGGAAAGGCCTCCCATGCTGCACCACCCGGCTGCATAAGCAAGAGAAGTTAGGTGACCCTTGCGGGGAGTCGAGTGCTTCTACTCAGACCAAAAGTGGGGGAGGCAGAGGAACAGCATGCACATATAAAAAAGTGTGACGGCTGCAAAGTTCTTGTGACATAGATTGTTTTCTGGCATTGGACTTCAAGCTTCAGCCACATCGCGAGGGGAATCGCGAGGGACTAACAGCACACTCCTAGACGCTTGTGACACAGTAAAGACTGTTGCAGCGGCAGCCCCATAGAATGCTTGTGACACAGAAGTACTGCAAGCATTAACCCTAAATAGATAAACTTAGGAGGCAGAGTACACATGCCAGGCACCCTAGAAAAAATGGACTTAAAGCAGCAATGATAGCGCCCTGTGGATAACAGACACCTTCCAGACAGTCTTCATCCCTGCGGTGGGCATACTCCAAAGGAGTCTTCAGGGACAGTCTTACCCTGGAGGTGTATCAAGGCTCTGCCGTTTTTCAGACCTGCTAATGAAACGCGGGCAAAACCAAGCAGAGCCCAGTGCCCTAGTTTTACCTTACAGGTCAGTCCTGCATCTCCCTCATAGTGGGGTCCAGGTGCGACCTCGGAGGCAACGCCCAAGGATCAGTAGAATCCGAAAACTACAAAAGGGAGCTCTCTTGGTTCTACAGTGAACAAAAAAGCTTGATAACAAGTGAAAAATGGTTGGCGCTTTCCTTTGAAGAGACAAGACTCTCCTAGGACACTACCAAGAAACTGAAGCATGATGGGAGGGGTTATGCTGGCCAACAGTTTTTTGTTACCATTATTAAAGTCTCCTGTAGGTGGCAATACAACGCATATGTGTCAGAATTCCTTTTGACTTGTGTCCCTTAACAAATGATTCAGAAATAAGGTTTCTGCCTGTGTTCAAAGTAAGTTGTACAGGATGTTTGTGTCACAGATTGCCGTGTTCCTGGGGCACAACAGCACTTCATATACATATATACAGGCATTTTACAATAGCTTGTAGACCAGATTACATTAAAATAATTATCCACACCTCAAGTCTTGTGACAGACAACCTAACACCAGCAGCCCTTTTTCCATCTTCACTCGGCAAAACAGTCACAGGACTCCGGAGAAAGCGCAGGCCCCATTCCCGATCACTTTGGGATCTTCGCATAGCCTCTTTCTCTCCAGGTTTCTCCAATGCTGTCTTCATTAGTAGCTCTGTAAGACGTTTTCTGGGCCGAGGGAGATCTAAGGTAATAGAATGTTAGCAGAGCATGATGCAGCAGAAGTAATTATCACCATACACAATGTGGTTTTTGTTACAATGTAACTGCTCAAACAGATTTTTAAGCATGCTTGATAATATCGGTAGGGCAGGTTAAGAACAGCAGTGAGCGGGAAGGGCTGAAATGTTTGTGGATACCTGATAATCGCACATAACTATATGGACAGAGGTATGTGACACACCACCAAATTTTTGAGCTCAGGTGTTTCCAGAGGAGGCTAAATTATACAAAGTGATTTAAAACAATTCTGGCTCCAGTTTTGGGAACACCATTTTAACATTTGTTTGAACATGACTGAGTCTCCATGCACAAAGCCAGCTCAATAAAGACATGGTTTGACTAGTGTGATCTGGAGGAACTCTAGTGGTCTACACAGAGCTCCAAACACAACTCTTTTGAACACCTTTGGGATGAATTGGAATGCTGATTGAGAGTTAGGTTTCCAACAATTAGTATGTGACCTTACAAATACTCTTTTGGCTGAATAAGTACAGATTCTCACAATCTCCAAACTCTTATGGAAAACCTTCTCAGAAGAATGGAGGCTGGTATAGCTCCAAAGCTCTACATCAATGCTAATGGATTGGAAATATGATGTCCAGCAAGTTCATATAGGTGTGGGGTCAGTTGTCCACAAACTGCTGGTCATATAGTTTATTTAAAAATCCAAAACTTATTTTAGTTTTGGATAACGATAACGTAGGAGATAGATTTTCGGCTGTATCCCACTGGAGAGATTTCTCCTAATTTCCTGTACCGGAGACACAACAGGAAGAGAGAAGAAATATCCACTAAGCAAAAGGCAAAATCCCCTTAGACAGTTGTCACTGAAACAAGTGTTCCCATTGGAAGATCTCCCCTCTATTCTTGTAAAATGTGGGATTTTACCTCACATTCTGTACTTCTGGACAAAGATAGGGTGACTCTCCAAAGATAGCGAAAAAAGTGTCGGGTTAACCTCTTGCCGTCCGCCCGTAGTAAAAAAATGGACGGACGGCACTGCTGCATTGGCGGGTTGCCGTCTCCAGACGGCAATTTTTTTCTGCTCGCGCGCGCCCCCTAGCGGGCACGCACGGGCAGAAAAGACCCGACCATTGCACACACCTGTTACCGGGTGTTTCACAAATAGGCGATCAGCGGGTCCATAGCCGGCCGATCGCCTATATGTGCTCGTTCGCGTCCATATAAAAAAGTAAAATAAAAGTCACATATAAAAAAAGGGGGAAAAACCCCCCCAAAATGTTTAACTCCCCCACCCCCACGTTTACACGCCTATAAACGTAAATACGCGTCCGGTGCCCCAGCGCGCAAAAATTACAATTGCGCTACACGTTACATATCGCCGCAAACGTCGCAGTGAGAATCTCCCACACCCACTCCATCCAAAACTAAAATAAAAGGTTTTAGCCTTAGAAACACTTTAATGACCAACCGCTCAGTGTCTGCAACCCCCCTCTGTCAATCCCTGCACAGGCTTCCACTCACCCAGAGGATAAAATCCAAAATGTTAACAGTCACTTATAAAGCCATCCACAACTCTGCCCCTGGCTATATCTCAAACCTTGTCTCAAAATATCACCCTAACCCTCCACAGTAATAATAATAATGACCAGACATCAGATCTTGTAGTTTCGAAGAACAGAAACAAAGGCAAATTTAACATGAACACCCCCATAAACATAAAACTGATATACCTTTACCAAGTAATGTGTCACACAGCATAGACTTGTTTTAAAAAATTGAAGAGTACTCCCTAAAAAGGACAGAGCACCCTATAGTGATGTTCAAAAAGCAGAACATCTACAAGTGGAACAAACACCTAGCTGATCAACACTCCTTACCCTTTATAAAGTCCCCAACATTCTGATAATCAGAAGGATCAGTTACAGGACGGGTATTCGGCAGATGAATCATCTCACGCAACTCCTAAAAGATAAAGTCCAATAAATAAGTTTGTACTTTACTTACTATTAGATGTTATTGATTGCAAAGATTTACTTATAGAGCAGGAAGATCAGACTGGTGTGACTGGGCCACATGTGGCCCTCTGCCAATTTAGGGAATTAAACTGAATGAGGCACCATCTGTTCTCTAGGTGATAAAGGCTACACTTCCTTATGATATTTTACAGATGAATTCCTGAAATACAAATCCTACCAATACTTTTTATTAGTTTTGGACACAGTGAAGAAAAAAAAAAAAGAACCTGTCGGGTTTTTATATGCAGATTTTTGAGAGAGGATTTGTCAATCGTTCTCATCTTTAAAATGTCAAATGTTCTTGGAGTGGCTGCTCCCACAAAATACTAAGGGCCCCCCTGACCAGGGTAGGGGGTCCCAAGTGGAACGGAATGTAGAACAAAACGTATCTGATAGTAGAGTCCAATATGTTATTTCTTCCTAAAAAGTGAATAAAATGTATTATATTAATTTTTACAAAGAAAATACCGTATTGGAATCTGCTATCAGCCGTGGCACCTCCATTTTGTTCCACATTTGGGTTTAATATATGCAGACTGTATCCCAAATGTGGAGGTTTCTCTTCACTTTGTCAAGACATGAAGAAAGAAGAAGAAACATTTTGTGCAGTAAAATAAGGGTTAGAACCTCTATCAAGTTACTGAATGCGTCTTCCTTCCCAGCAACAACCACTCCCCCCATTTCTTGCCCTGCTACAGCTAGCAGCAGTCATATTCAACTGGACATGTTCTGTAACATCAAAGCCATTTCAAAATTAGAACAAAAACAAATATTCTCCTACGCTCTTTACTTCGCCATCACAAAAATACGTAATTAAATGGTTTCATCATTTCTCTTAAATGTTTTTGTTGCATAGATTTCCAAATACATGCGACATTTCACCACTGGTCCAAATGGCTTCCTTAATTCAAATGAGTGCTAGGAACATACCAAGCATTTATAGCCACATGGGTTTCCCAGACACCTTACTCCATTTACCAGGGTCCCAATGCAAGCTCCCGGCTGGTTGCATTGACTTACCGTGTCTTTCCTCTTCCCCCCGCCGAAGATCCGTACTGCGCATGCGCCCGCCCGAGAACCTTCAAATCTTCAGACAGGAGTAAGCGCCGGAGACACATGTAAGATTTAACCTTTTTGGTAACTTTTTTAATGTTTTTGCATATATTTACTGCTTGCTAGCAGTAGACAAATGCAAATAGCTCAGAGGGTTTAATTATCCTTTAACCCCTTCATGACTGAGCTAGTTTTTAGTTTCTGTTCGTAAATTACTGACACACTTTTGACATTTTTGCTGTGTGATTCTTCCACGTCAGTAATATACTTTCTTACAAAGTGCACCCACACATATTATATATTGTTTTTTAGAGGACAGATAGGGCTACATATGTATATCACATATGTGTGTCTAACGCCTCACTTAGGACAAATAAAATATAAGAAAAGAGGGAAAAACGTAAAAAAAACACTTTTTTCCCAGTTTTGATTTGTAGTATTTTTTTTAACAAAACCAGCACAGCTAAAAAAAAAAATGCAATAAATACATTCATTTGTCCCTTTTTTAAATTTTTTTACACTTTTAACAATTTTTTTTTTTTACACTTTTTACTATTTTTTTTTTTTTTAAAGATTAAAGTTTATTAGACAAAAAAAGTCTTGTCTTAAATTTAATGAGTAAAGCAGAAGAGATGGGGGGAGAAAGGGGAAGAAAAAAAGGGGGGTAGGGCAGGGGGGTGAGTGTAGAGGGGGATATTAGGTAGGCGGGAGCACGTCTGGGAGGCAGCAAGTCCCACCGAGTACCAAGAGGTCCGGGCAAAGTTGGCAGGACTGGGAAGGATATTGTGGACAGTATTAGGCTAGGCATGTGTCTGCTTGTAGGATCCACGGCGTCCAGATGGCAACGAATTGGGGGTATCGGTCATATAATTGCGCAGTCAGTTCTTCCATATGCATGATCTTATTAAGTTCCGTGACCCATTCTTTGGTTGATGGCACAATATTAGTGTTCCAATGTCTGGGGATGAGGATCCTGGCTGCAGTAAGGAAGTATCGCAGAAGGTCTTTTTTAATGGATTTAAAAGATCCTGGGAGAATATAGAGAGGAGCGCAACCTGAGGGGTACGTGGTGGGTCGCTTGCCATCACCTTGTGATATATGTCGAACACTGTGGTCCAGAAGGGTCGTAATTTGACGTAGTCCCACCAGACATGCAGCATAGTCCCCACTGCCGAATTGCAACGCCAGCAAGTGTCAGGAATGGTAGAGGAAAATTTGTGAAGAAGATGCGGGCTTCTATACCATCTGGTAAGCAATTTGTAGCTGCATTCCTCAGTGGAGCTGGACATAGAAAGTTTGTGGGTCAGAGAATAGGCTTTAAGTTTGTCGTGCTCAGAGAAGGAGCAGCCAAGGTCCCTCTCCCATGCCTGCATGAAAGGTGGGACAGCGTCAGTTGTGAGGGTCAAAATCAGTTTGTATAGGGTAGATATCGTGCGTAGGGGACCCGAGGGTTGGGCGCAGATGGATTCGAAGGCCGTGAGGGTTCTGTGTGGGTCGGAGCGTTTGCAGATCGAAAGGTAGAAGTATCTAAGTTAGAAGTAACTCAACCAGTTACCAGGCCGTTTTTCATCAGGAGCGGAGAGTGATATCAGGGGTTTCAGACCAGTGGGGGGTGAGGGCTGATGATAAGTATGCGTGGGAGCTAGTGGACCAGTGGAGGAAGGAGGGTCCAGAACATCCCGGTGGGAAGTTAGGGTTGAGCAAGATAGGGGTCATAGGGCCATCATGTGTTGATATGTGTTTGTGTTTGACCAACCCGTCCCAAACAGAGAGAAGAGGGGGCACCGCAAATGGCAGATAAAGTTGCCGGGGTCTAGTTGACGGGGTGATCCAGCAGAGGGAATAGATCGGCAATGACAATAACGAAAATTCCAACTGGACCCAATCCTTATGGGATGAGTTGTAAATTGCATCTAAAATTCTCGTTAAGTGTGAAGCCATGTAGTAGTATTCAATGTGCGGTAGTCCAACACCTCCATCATGCTTGGGACGAGTAAGAATGTCATATCTAACACGCGGTCTTCTACCTTTCCAAATATAGTGGATTAAACCTAGCTTAAGAGAGCAGAAAAAGGATTTAGGTACATCTATGGGGACGGTCTGGAACACAATATCTTACCATAAAGTGAGCATCTGAGGAAACGCCCGAACTCGTCCACCAGTGTGTCCGTAACCTCCACTGGGAGGGAGTTATGGAGGCCTATGGCCACTCCTCTGGTTTAACGGTCAGGATTATTGCTGGTGTACCATGTACGGTAATATTTAGTGGGGAGATTAGGAACCGCGCTGGATTTAAAACGTGTTTCCTGAAGGAAGAGAACTTGAGAGTGTTGTTTATGGAGATGATATAATAATTGGGATCTTTTGGATGGGCTATTAAATCCCTGTACATTCAGGGAACAAAAGGTCAGTGACGCCATGGCGTTGGTAAGGTCGGGCAAAAGCAGAAAGACAAGTGAGACTGCATGCTCCCAGACATGCTCCAGGAAGGGGACGAGGGAGAGGAGGGTAAAAGCAGGGGGGCTATTAGTGGGAGAGAAGGGCAGAGAAGGAGAGCAGGTAGAGAGGGAAAAGAAAAAAGTAAACAATACAATCGTATTACAACTAACATAAGGGAGAAATCCCTAAACATGCGCACCGCGAGTCCCAAAATCCAGGGATGGTCACGGTGAACAGAACCTATGGGGGTAAACATAGTTGAGTGTCCTCGTCGACCCGAGTCGTGTCGGATCACACCAGGACAGTGTGAGTAAGGAGGAGGAACCGATACACATATAATCAAATCAAAAAAGGATCTAACAAGCAATGTAGCCTACCATCACGCATTGGGGAAACAGCAAGTGCATTTATCAAGAACAATGTTAACCCTATGTGGGAAAAAGTGATTGGAGGGAAAAACCTGTGTCCACCTGAAGGAGGGTCGCGGGTCACCACTGAGTCCAGTAGGCGGTATCCGGTGTGCAGACTCAGCGTGGGTTGAGGTATGCAGAAGAATGACCCACGGCATAAAACAAGTCGCTGGCAGGGACATCAGTCATCCTCCCGGAGGGCATCAGGGAGATGGTAGAAGGTACGACAGCTGTAACGGTAAAAACAAATCAGACCATATGGTGGATAGCGACAGCTGCGTCTGACAACAGATCGCCTGTGTTCCTGGGAAGGGGCAACAGCGCATCAGAGAGTCCTGCAAGTGATACCCGGTGTGCAGTCTCGGTGGAAGCCGAGGTGTGTAGTAGGATGATCCAGGTCAAGGGAGAAGTCTATGACAGGCACACCAGGCATCATCTGATAAGGCAACTGATGCGAGGTAGAATACGAAGGCAGACTACAATCCAGGGTGTGGTATATCTGGTCGCAGGTAAGATCCAAGGATGTGGTGTAGTCACCTGTAGGTAAATCAAGGAGGGGAAGAGGAAGATGTGGGTCTACGGTCTCCGCGGGACCTCGGGGCGACCGTTTCCCAATCCAGGGTGGGTGGCGAGAATGGCTGGAGGTGGAGACCCGGGTCCGGCCATTGACCCAGGGTGGGCGCCGTGATTCCCATGGCTGCACTAAAGCTCTCCACGTCTGAGAGTGAGCGGAGGGTATGGAAGCGTCCGTTATGTTTAGCCGTGAGACTAAAAGGATATCCCCAGCGCTAGGATATATTGGCTTCTTGTAGTACTTTGGTCAAGGGGCGTAGGGCCCTACGCTTGGCTAGGGTGCGCCTGGAGAGGTCCGGGAACAGAGATATGTGGGCGCCATCGAAATCCAGGGACCCGATAGATTGGGCTTTAGTCAGGATTTCAGATTTTAGGCCAAAGAAAAGTACTCTGCAGAGTACATCCGTGGTTGTGTGTTGTTGGGCCTCCGGAATCCTGGGGTGCGATGGACTCTATCAATTTCGATATGGTCAGTCACTGGTTTATTTAGGATAGTATTGAAGATCCCTATCACGGATGCTAGGAGGTCGGAGTCACCCGTAGCTTCAGGGAGGCCGCGTATCCTGATGTTATTGCGGCGGCTACGGTCCTCCAGGTCATCTAGGTGAGTATACAGGTCAGCAATGTGGGAATGTTGAGCAATGACCACTGAACGGAGCTCCTCCACTGCAGATGTAATGGGGGGGAGAGTGGATTCCATAACATCCAGGCGGGAGTGGAAGGACTGTAGGCCCTCACGGATCTCTCTCATGTCGGCCTTATGGGCGGATTCCAGTTTGGCAAAGAGGGCCTCAATGTCACTTTTAGTGGGTAGTAATTGGAGGCACCCCTTGAGAGCAGGGGGAAGCACATCCCCGTCCATGTCCTCATCTATGTCCGACCCAGGGGGGTCCCCTGGTGAGGATGTGTGGACTGATGGCAAAGACTCACGTGGCGATGAGGATGGAGCTCCACGAGGGGATCCGGCAGCCATCTTGGATTCCTATGCCGGGTCCGGAGGCCGCTGGAAGAACGGCGGTCTCGTGCCGGTTCTGCGGGTGTATTGCGGCCCATCAGGTGTCAGTTTGGCGGCGTGTATCGGTTCGGGTGAGATGTTTCTCGGGTCGGCTGCGGGAGCTCTCAGTAGACGCGTCTACACGGGTCCATCGGCAAGCCACGCCCCCTTTTACTATTTTTTTAAACTTAAAAATGTTATTTTATTTATTTAATTATATCAAGCAGTCATTGTGAATTAATCTCACTATTACTGCTTGATAAATTAATACATTTTTGGTTATTATCAGGCTGCTTTAAACTTCAGAACAGCCGATAATAAGTTAGTGACACTGATCCTGCAGAAGTTCAGGATTCAGCTGTCACTAGTTTTCTGATTGTTACAACATTGATCAGCAAACTGAACATTCTTATTTCAGGAATAGATACATTATGTATCTATTCCTGAAAGTGAAAGAAAAAAAAAAGCCAGTATAGCTTGAGAGAGATATCTCTCGATCTATACGAGCTGTCAGAATGCCCGCATGTGTGCCCGCTCTGCTTTGGCTCTCAGACAACCGATATTAAAGGTATCGGGTGTCTGAAAAAGGTTAACCCTTTCATTAATGGATGCCTCTAAACTGAGGGATACATTAATGAATGGTAACCGCTGATTCTCAGCGGTTACCAGCCTTCTAGTGCAGCAAATAACTCGTCACGTACAGTGTACGTGACAAGTCATTTGGTCCCTTTGTGGTGGGACGTACAGTGTACATCTCCCGTCACGAAGGGGTTAAAGTCAATAGGTTTCAAATGCTGGTGAAATCACTTACAATGGATGCTGCTCCTTGATGTTAAAAAGTTTTACTTTCCTGCAGAATCAGCTGGTCCGGATATCCTGTTCTACAGTGACTCCTTTCTCCAGCACAGTGCTATGCAGTCACCATTGTGTGTGCTAGTAAGCTGTAAGTGTCTACACAGACACAGCAAATCAAGCTACCCCCCTGGTCCCATCTCCTCCCTTCTCCAAGTTAGTAAATTAACAATTAGTGGAGTCTGCTCTTTTCCTTGTGATCTTGTACTGGACAGGAAGTTCAGGGAAGCTAAGCTGAGAGACTTGGAAGCAGCTGATTGTAAGTGTTTAGGCAAACATGAAAAGCAGTGCTTTGCTGGGCAATGTATATTTGTTTGATCTAGATTCCTTATTGAAAAAAGTTTGTGAGTGTATTACTAATTTAAAGAGGAACTTCAGGATTTTTTTCAAATTTACCATTGCAGTGCGACTACCCCAGCACTGCAATGGTTAAGTGCTTTTTTTTATCTAGGGTCCAAAATAAAGTTATATTCACCCGATCCTCCGTTCCGCCTGGCTACTAGACTGGTACCCATAGCCTCTTCTCCTCCAGGCTCCGGTGGTCTAAGAACCCGAAATGTCATCATGTCTAATGCAGGTCCATTAGATGTGAGGATGGCAAGGGACATACCACAGCCGAAGCGAAGGGAAAGAGTGGTGAGCCCTGACTGATGCAGGACCAAAGATCAGGTGAGTGTATCTTCTTTATTTGCGCCCTTAGACCAAAATGAGCAGTTACCCCTTGCAGTGTGGGAGTAGCTCAACTGCAAGGGTTCATTTTAAAAAAACAAAAACTGGCGTTCTTGTTGAAGTGTGATAAAACACACTGCAAGAACATCTGCTACGAGTACTACGAGTCATTCGTGTTCATACTATCCTCATGTCCCTAGTGAAAAAATCTAAGAACATCTCTCTATCTATAAATAAAAAGGACCAACAGACAGGTGCTAGAAGCTGTAAATTCAAGCCAGATTTTACTTGACTAATCAACAATCTCATAGTTGTGGGGGCCCCGGAGCCACATGGCTGAATGAGGTGAATACATTTGATCAGATAGATAGGAAAACCTGTCAGTCACTATTGTTCCCCCCTGAAATAATTGTAACCAGCAGTATCAGTCCAGCATTGCTCACCTCTTATCCCCTATCTACATGAACAGAAATATTCTACTGAGCAGATGGTTCCTGTTCATGGACCCAACAGCTATTACTGTTGCCTGTAGGTGGTTGGATTGTGCATGCAGATCTAAATATTCATGTATGTATACTGGTATTACTGTAAAACATCCATATAAACATGACTGTAAACAACCCTCTGAAGTCACATAGGATTATAAGTCAATTATGTACTAAAGTGCACTGTTCAGGTTACATCAACAAATTATTGACAACTCTTTCCCTGTGTGGTTTATATACAGCACAATGTCATGGAAGCAGTCTAATGCATAATAATTAAAGCTAATGCATACATCCTATAGTTCCTACACAGGGACTATGCAGTTAATTGACCGCAAGAAATGTTTTCAAGATTTGCCAATGGAAAATCCAATAATTACATCTAGGCACGTTACTATTGCTATTAACAGTTTTAATGCAACATGGAATCATTAAACGTTTCCCCGCCGGCCGTTGTAATTAAACGGCCGCCCGGGAGCTTCTTGGATGTAAGCAGGCGTCTAAAAACATCCCGCTCGTGGTCCCCGCTGTTTAAATGATGGCTGTTTACATACAAGCGGTCCAGCAGCTGTAGAGCTGCTGGATCGCTTGTATAATGCGTGCTGGTGTGCGCCCCCCCCCCACGTCGCTGCCGATCCCGAGCTCCGCTGTGCCAGGTGCGGGCTGAGGACTCACAAGGCGTCCCTATCACCAGAGATCAGTGGGAGATCTTCCTTGATCACCTCCCTGTTCTCTGAATGCCGGGTCCTGAAGCTGGAGAGAAGCTGGTGAAGCAGAACTCTGCTTCATCAGCTTCTTTGGGGGTCCATAGGTGACGTTAGGGGTCTTAGAGACTCCTGATGTCTCCATAAAGGGGACTGGTCTGTGTAAACTGGCTATCATATGGGGGATCGTTAGTCCCCTATGTGATAACAATAAAGTTAAGTGGAAAAAAAAGGTTTTCCAAAAATTCAAGTTATAAAAATAATTGTAAAGTCAGATATAAAAAACAATTTTAATTTTTTTTAAAGTCGCTCTCATATACATACAAACATGAAGGGTGCGCCTACGTGCGAAAATGACGAGTGCGCCCATTGCGCCACACGTTACATATCACTGCGAACGTTAATCACGATTAACATTAAATTGATGAGCGGTAAAAGCTTTTAAAGCATCGCCTATGGCCAATTTTGGGTATTTTTTTTGCGATTTCATGGTCACACGCAATTTTAAAATGTGACATTTGGTTTCTATTTACCCGACGCAACCCCATCTTTTATATTTTAACCAAAAATATGAGTAGTAATAAACCGTTTGTTTTTTTCAAGATTTCCTGTACTTTTTTCTTATATAGTAAAAAATAAACCCCCCAGTGGTGATTAAATACCACCAAAATAAAGCTGTCTGTCCCCAAAAATGGTATAAAATTCATTTCAGTACAGCGTTGCATGATGGAATAAATGTGAAATGTATTCCGTATGTAAATAAATTATGAATGAAGTCAAAGTACTGCAGCGCTGAATACTGAAAAATGGCCTGGACAGGAAGGGGGTTTAACACCCTGGTCATGAAGTGGTTAAAAAAAGGACTATGGCATCAAATTTAAAAAATAAATGTGCTGCAGCACTTAATTATACTTACTGTATATCTACACTTACATTTTCTCTCAGTTCCCTTGAGTAGTCTCACAAATAACCTGTTCAGCCTGTAAAATTGCACCTAATGCAGCTTCCTGTGATCGGGTGTGAGAGATGCTGCACTAATCCTGAATTCAGAGCCCAATGTAGGCTGTGCTTGCTGTACAGCGAGACATCGCAGGGGGCGTGACTATCAGCATTGTCATCACCTGGCCACACCTAGTCCTGCCCACTGCTTTCTGAATTGACAGCTCTGTCTCTGCTACTTAAACCCTCCCACCGTGAGCTGCAGTGTCTTGGTTGGGAAGCATGTGAGACACCAATAGAGGATTTGGCTTCAGTTAGAGAAGGTAAAGGGAGTGTTTAATTTACTTCATGAGGCCTGTGCATCACATAGTAACTGGATCTGGGATTTGTTTAGCCTGTCATACAGGATCCTTTAGTTGAACTTTACTGGTTTACAATTAAAGATGTTTTGCTCTATAATAAAGCCCAAAAAAGACTGAGAATTTTGAAAATGCACCTTAATGGTAAATGCCACTTGCAAAGGTCCACGACGACCAACAAGCCAAACCTTCCTGATTCGACTGTTAGAAAGGCTGTCAAGGGCAGCCTGCGTGATATCCGTCTTCTATAAAATAACAAATATAGAAGTCAGGGATGAGACCAGTCACAATGCTGAGCAACTCAAGGGAGGCAATTAGGGCATCACTAACCTTTAATAGATCTATTGGTGACAGCAGGATTCTTGCGATGTCAAGTGCGACATTCCCATGTCCTAGGATGATGGCTGTGTCTGTGCTGAAGTCTGGAGACAACTATGACACAGAAAGGGTCATTTACATTTGGATAATCTGGTCCTTCTCACTCTAATCACTGTAAAGCCCAAGAAAATGCAATGTAGAATCTTAAACTAGCCTTCACCGAACAAACTGGGAATTTAACAGGTTTTAAAGGACATCAAAACCCAACCCACAAACAAAGATGTAATATATTGCATGTTAACTGTGCTTAGATGAAGTAGCTGAATTGGTTTCCTTTTTTTAGGATTTTTTTTTCACCTGTTGGTCCTGCCAATAACACCCTGTCCTATGGTCAGGGCCGAATTCCCCACAAGGCCACCAAGGCTCGCCCTCGGGGCGGCAGCGGCGTGTGGAATTCCCCGACGCCTGGAACATGTAGTTCCGGGCGCCAAGTTGCTTTCTACATTTAGTCCTGCTTTGGGAAGGCAGGACTAAATGTAGTGTGAGGATGCCGCATGTTCGTTTACAAGTGATCTCTGCGATGTCGCCGAGATCACTTGTAATAAGTGTGCAGCCTGTCCGTCTTCCACTCCACCTCCCGCACCTACCTCTCTCCTCGCTGGCTCCGCCCTCGGGACTCCTCCTGCCGCAGAGTCTCTCTCTCTTCACTGGTGGCCGATGCTGGGAGCAGAGCGACAGGGTTAAAACTAACCCTGCCGCTGCGAGTATACAGTGAGAGGGGAGAGTAGTCTTCCCCTCTCACCTGTCACACAGTGCTGTGCTAGAACTCCTGTCCTGGAGGTGACAGGGTCAATAAAGAGAACCGGTCACCTCCAAATGCTATCACACAGGGGCTTGTTATCTCCTGTGTAATAGCAATAAAGTTAAGTGAGAAAAAAAAATAATAATTAAATTTAAGAAACAAGGTAATTTTAAAAGTAAATAATAAAGAAAAAAATTATTAAAAAATAAGAAAATAATTATAAAAAATAAACAAGAAGATAAATTATAAAAAAAAAAGTAAACCATAAGATAAATAACATTTTAAAAAAAGTAAACAAATATAACAAATTCCTTTTATAGTATAGTTAACATACCAAAAGGAACAAAATAAGATACGTTCATTTTTAGGGTTTTATATACCCTTTAACCTTTATAATGTTCACATGTTCTACCCCAGGTGGCCAATCCAGCGTTCACACCTTCACACGTTCTAATAAAATACATGTCAGACCTAAAAATATACTAAAGCCTCCCAAAGGCAAACATTTTCTAAAAGAGATCTTACAGAATTAACATAATATCATAAATGTAGTTCTCATTGCCATAATACTCCTTCAGATTTTGCATGTAGCTTCAGCTGTCTATATATCTGGTTCATTTCAATGTGAAGGTAATCCCAGCTGACATATTTTTTCATATTATCCTCAGTTTGTGACAGGTTTACTTTACAATTGTGAACTTGGGAAATGATGAAAAATGAGGGTATGCAGACTTGTTAGCCTGGTTCTACAAAATTCATACCAGATTCTTATTTGAGGTAGGGGTCTTTTATGGCTTTAATGAAGGGATCCTACGCAAAAAAAAAAAAAGTTGGGATTCCCCTTTGCATCAGAGCAGGCTTGGACAGAGGCAATTTTTTTCCCTTTTCTGAATGGATACCACCCTCCCTGGATTAGTATCATTCCTTTCGATTGTGCTGCTGGTCAGCTCTCCTGCTCCATGGAAAGGAATGATGCTACGGGAAAATTTAGAGGCACCCCAGGGAGCCACAGCACCCTGGCTGAGAACGGATGCACTAGCCTGATCACCAGATCACTCTATCCTAGTTGCTGTCCTATACTAATGGGCATTTGGAAAAAGGAACATCTCATTTTAGTATTTATTACTTACATTCATGATAGCAGTGACTAGTGAATTAATGCCAGTGTGGTGCTGCAGAGAAAGGCAGGACCAGTACTTTATTTTTCTATTAATCATTATGAACATTTGTCTGTGATCAAAAAGATTTATTTATTTACAATAATTAATACTGAAACCAATATTTTTTGTTTTGGATAGTGTGAGGGGATAGAACCTATGTCAGGCTTTCTAATTCAGTCTGTATTCCCTTTAGAGCTGCAGCTAACGATTATTTTCAAAATCGATTAGTTAGCCGATTATTAAGTTCGATTAATCGGTTAATCGGATAAATAAAATACATTTTAAAAAATGGCTCCAGTGATGGACTACTAGTTTGTATTGAGGTTGTAGTCCATCACAGGAGCAAGCTTGGAGCGGTGGAAGTAAAAAAAATGGTGTGGTGTGCAATATAGTGAAATGGAAAGTGTAAAATTATACAGCAATGAATGCAGAATGGCAGCGGCTATAGAGGACTACAAATCCCAGCAATAGTACATTATACAGCACAATGCAGAATATCACCAGCTATAGAGGATTACAACAAATCCCAGAAATAGTACATTATAGCTGGCGGTATTCTGCATTGCGCTGTATAATGTACTGTTGCTGGGTTTTGAAGTCCTCTATAGCTAGTGGTATTCGGCATTGCACCACTGTATAATGTATTATTGCTGGGATTTGTAGTCCTCTATACAGCGCAGTGCAGAATATCACCAACTATAGAGGAGTACAACAAATCCCAGCAATACATTATACATACAGTGTATAATGTATTGCTGGGATTTGTATTCCTATGTATAATATACAGCACAATGTACCATCAGCTATAGAGGAATACAAATCCCAGCAATACATTATAGAGCACCATGTGGGTGGGGGGGGAGTGCAGGCTTACCTGAGCAGTCTTCCAGCAACTTGCTTCTGAGATCTGACCTGTCTATCGGCGGCTGTCATCCCCCCACACCTGCTCCTCCTTACTACATCTCCCCGCGTCCCTGTGCCAATCGTGGATGTGGGCGGGCGGTGAGTGTGAGGCGGGAAGGAGGTGCGGCGTGTAGAGCGTGGATGCGGGCGGGTCTGGCAGCGGGGAGCGTGAGTTGGGGAGGAGGGGCGGCGCGCAGCGTTTGTGGACCCGTGAACAGGGCCAACTGATCGGAAGCCGATTAATCGATTATTGAAAAAGTTGACAACTTTTTCAATAATCGATTATAATCGATTATGTCGATTAGTTGTTGCAGCCCTAATTCCCTTATGCTCCATCCTCTCTAGACATATCAGGAAGTTAGAGGCAATTGTGAGAAAGTTGTCACTGTGCAATGTGTGCTCATTGGAGGAATTCTCCAGGGAAACATTTGCCTCTCCTGCTCTGGTGACAATTATTTCACTGGGATGAATTTCCCTTTCCTTTCTCAGTGACAATGGCACTAGGACAAACAGAGAGGGTAAATCAACCTGGTGGGGAAACAGACAACAATAAAAGCCAACGGGGAAGAAAGTACTTCCTTCGATTTGCGAGCTGGAGCCATGGAAAACCTGATTCTTGTTGACAACCAATCAATCTGTCAAAGACAGGACTCACTTCTTCCAGAACGACAGAATGTTGCATGGCAGAAGTCTGGAGTGGAACTGGGCAAAGGGAGCTGCCTCTAAAGGCTACCATTAGCCCCAAGAATCTCATGCAAAAGCGGAGAATGGGACGACTTCTAGACTGGAGAGTTTGGACTTGAGACAGGTCAGTCTGAAGCTTGTTCTGTGGAAGACACAGTGGCAGGAGATATGTCCAGTATTGGACCCAGATACTCCAAGTGATGGGTCTGTTCCAGAGAGCAGTTCTGAAGGTTCAGGATACACCCAAACCACATAACATCAGCACAGTTAAGAGACACGTCCATTTGAGTCTTTGCCACTGTTCTCTTTACAAGAGGTTGTCTAAGTATACGTCTATGGGCAGGGCTAACACTGATGCCAGCAAATAGTGAACACCGAGGTGCAGACAAGAGGCCGAAGGGCAGGGCCATGAGCTGGTAGTGTATGCCCCATGGCAAAGTATAGGAATTGCTGATGCACTGGAAAGATGGGACCATAAAAGTGAACATCTTTGATGTCCACAAAAGTCAGAATGCCTCCAAATACCAGGGAGACTATGACAAATCTGGTGGATTCCATTGAGAATTTATGGACTCAAAAGAAAACATTCAGGACCATAAAATCCAAGATAGGGTGAATGTGGCTTGGTTGTGACTCCTTAGGGACTAGCACATTAGTCAAAAATTTAAATGGCTCAGAATCACACTCTGCATCCGATGGCTCGGAAGTCGTAGAGCTGGGTAAATCTTCTGGCCTCTACAATCAGAGTCAGCAAATAACTGGGTGATTCGGGTCATAAAATCTTGCATAACCGTGGTAAAAACTTTAGTGAGAGGGAAGAGCACCCAGCCACACCCAGAGCCAAGGATGGAAGAGACTTTAACGTTACAGGACAGCAAATGTCAGCAAGATCAAGAAGCATGCAGCAAGTAGGTACAGAGCAGTAAGACTCTGTTCACACCTAGGCGTATCGAATATGCGCATCTGTCGCGTGTTTCGTGACGCACGTCACCGCAATTCGCTGTAAAGAAACGCGCGACAAACGCACGTTTCCGGGGCTACTTGGCTGTATCCCAATGGAAACACGCGACAAAAACACTGCAAAGAAGCTCATGTACCTTTTCAGGCGTAGGCCGTTTTGTAGCGCGCTCAGACGGGCTGAAATATGGCAAGGTGTGAACCATACCCATAGAAAACAATGGGATTTTCATGTTTGAGCGTTTTGTAGAGCGTTCATAGAGCGTTGAACGCTCTACAAAACGTACAGGTGTGAACCAGGCCTTAGTAGAAACTGAACTGGGGGTACTTGGTACAGTGGGACTATTCCCCCCATATCCTAAAACAGACATGTTGCGGCCGCATGGGGGGTAATACAACATACTGGCTCAGGGTAAGAGGAGAGGCCTCAAGTGCTAACAAAACCTATACAGCTGTTAGCAGGTGACAGTCAGATGGCTGGAGGTGAAGACGGGCAGCAGGAATGAAAGGAGGATCAAAGTTCCACATGGCTCTTTGCAAACTGCAGTCAGCAGCAGTGAGGAGATGCTTCCTTGAAACTGTATGGTGAGAAAGAAAGTGAAGTGCTTGTGCAACACTACTCCCAACGGATGATGTCAGCACGGCGCCCCATAGCATTAACTCTTTTTTTAGGTGGAAATTGGGAATAATGGGGATTTATTGTATTCCTATATAGCTAGAAGTATTCTGCATTGCGCTGTATAGAGGACTACAAATCAAGGAATAGTACATTATACAGCGCAATGCGGAATACCACCAGCTATAGAGGAGTACAAATACCAGCAATAGTACATTATACAGCGCAATGCGGAATACCACCAGCTATAGAGAACTACAAAACTCAGCAATAGTACATTATACAGCGCAATGCAGAATACCGCCAGCTATAATGTACTATTGCTGGGATTTGTTGTATTCCTTTATAGCTGGCGGTTTTCTGCATTGTGCTGTATAATGTATTGCTGGGTTTTGTAGTCCTCTATAGTCGATGCCATTCTTCATCATTGCTGTATAATTTTACACTTTTCATTTCACTGTATTGCACACCACACTTTTTTTTTCTTTTTTACTTCCACCGCTCCAAGCTTGCTCCTGTGATGGAGTGCAATCTCAAGACAAACTAGTAGTCCCATCACTGGAGCCATTTTTAAAAATGTATTTTATTTTTTATCGATTAACCGATTAATCGAACGTAATAATCGGCTAACTAATCGATTTTGAAAATAATCATTAGCTGCAGCTCTAGTTTGCTCCAGTGGGTTCTGGATGCCATACTCCAAAAGCCAGGCTGAGAACAATCACACTGGACATCTGCAAACAGGGAGAAAACTCCAGCAGTGATATAGAAAACAGTCCTGACTGTAGAAGAAAAAAATAATAATAATAAAAATAAAAAAAAGCTAGCAAAATAATGGTCTTATCACATCAAAGCTAAAAGGCAAGAAGTCCATCCTCCTAGGACACTAGCAAAAAAAAACAGGAGGTGCTGATAGTAGCTGGGATTATCCTGGGCCAGCCTTGAGTTTTGTGTGTCCTGTAGAGAGCAACATAACCTGAAGGTTAAAGACTTTCTTTGTCGCTCAATGGAGGAGAAGGATATACAGTTTTGGGTTGAGATGCACTTTAAAGTCTAAATCAACCTTTTAAAAAAAAATGTTTTGCCGTAAAGGGGCCCCAGCAGCGTAAAAAACATTGTCCAGCATATAAAAATAAAGTTTACTTTATATGACATACCTGTAAGCCAAAGTCTGCTTCCCCAAAGCCTGTCCAAAATCTACCCTCCTGACAGATTTGCCCCGTACTGGCATAGAAGTTGGAACACGTTGCCCATGGAGTATGCTTCCAGCATAATAAAAATGAGAGGTCTCCCCCTGTCACTGCACTGCTAGTAATTTATACCAATAGGTAACCTGCAAATCTTTTGTCACGGTGCCCAGAAAATTACAAAAACATATAGACATATTGAAACATGCATACTAACACCCACACCTACATACACTCATGTGCATAATCTTACCTTCCATGCTGGCTGTACAGCCATAACATTTTTTACTTTGCTAATAATACTACATTTTCTGTTAGGGGCTCATTTATGCTTCTGACATAAAAGTAAACACATGCTTTGCCCATGCAGGGCAAAGTAAAAGTATCACTTTAATTGCGGCCCCACCAGTTACACATACTAATCTTCCTTTTACTCCCCCAACCCTCAGTGCAGGAAGAAAAGAGAGGAAACATTACACAGGCCTGAAGACTCTCCAACCATGTGACAGCTCTGGATACTTTAGCAGGCAATTTTTTAGCACTGGTACTATGTCAAAAGGAGTTAGGAGAATGCGTCATATGCTCCCTCATACCCAAAAGTACTAGCAGAATTCCTGGAGGCCCAGCTGCGCAAGGAAAGAAAAAGGAAGGAAGGTATGTACTGCTGGGGAGGGTACCATTAAAGTGAACCTATTTTCTGCTGCATTGGGTAAAGCACAGGTTCACTCTAACATGCATCTTTTTGTGTGCTTCTTCCTACATACAAAAGTCACATACTGCATGCTTTACATATGGTATCATTTGTTTTTATGGCAGATGCGCTTTCTGGAACATGCTGGCAAACTAAAGCAAACATGATTTCTTAAAAAAACACACATTGGTAATAACTGTACATCTTAAAACAATAGTAGAGTACTGTCCGTGTGCAGAAGTGTAAAAAGCCACGTTCTTTGCTGTCACTCACATGTCGGTTGTCTGGAAGGCCGTTGTACCAGCCTACAAAGTCCCTGGCAGAGTACACGCCTGGCAGCTCTTCTCCAGGAATCCCCAGCTGCCGCTTGTCTTCTGCCCCATAGCTCTGTCAGAGATAACGAAAGCTTAGTAGATAGAAAAAAAGCAAAACGTACAACTACCCACTGTCCTTCTCCTCGCTCACCAGTATTACAGCATGATACGCTGCCTGTAGTTCCTCTATTGTTACATCTCTCCCGACAGTCACATTGCCCAGGAAACTGCAGCGCTCTGTATGGGCCGTCTGTGTAAAAGTGTTGATAACATTCTGTATGGAGCAAAAAAGAAATGGGTAACAAAGGGGAGTTGAAGCAGGACACAGGTCAAAAAGATCAAACTATTTCAGTTGTATTTGTTATAACTAGGAATGCACCGATACCAAGTACAGTACTCAGTACAAGTACAGATACTTTTCCAGCTCCAAGACTAGACTAGAGAAAAATCCAAAAGTTAGGAGGCCGCCGTCATTTGTAAGGAGCACACGGAGCTCCTGGGATTTGTGCATCTCTGTTTTAATGTATGATTTTGTTTTTATAAATAAAAGGATGCACCAATACCAGTTTTGCAAGCACAAGTACTGGTACTTGCCCAAGTACTTACCAGTACAAGTACCGATACATTTTTGTTTGTCATGTGACAGTTTTTCTAAAACAATACAGACTAATGATTTCAGGACAGTGGTGGAGCGCCAGAGCCAGGTCCCAGCTGGAACCGCTGCAACCCTGGTAGTTCTCATTAAAATGCCATGTATCGGCATTGGTACTTGAAAAGTATCGGTGCATCCCTAGTTAGAACATAGGGGACTGGATCATTACAATTATTGGTTTCATTTCTATCAGTACAAAACATTGTGGTTGTCTGATTCAAGGCTTATCAACCAGCAATATGCATCCTTGTAAGGCTGCCTTCAATAACTGTGCATGGTGATTTTACTTATCGAATGAAGGGAATTTCTCATGAGAGACGAAGGCTGCCAAGCTCGACTTCATTCACATAGGACAATGCTAGTTTGTTGGATTTCATGTTAATTCTCTGAAATCTATACTCGAGTCACTGACCAGAACACTTATGCAGATCAGGAGCTCCAACGTCACTCTTCGGCACAGAAAGTATTAAAACCAAAGAACCACATGACAGGAATAAACTAACATTTTTTTAAATATGGTCACTAAGGGCAGCTTAAGTATGTTTTATGACAAGTCTCCTTTAAATCTGTCTTCATTTTCGAAAAGCAAGTAATGATTTTTGCACAAATAAAACTGCTTATGTAAAATCTAAGAGAATAAAGGACATGCCGGTAAAGACTCATATTCAGTATGTCTGGATACTGGCAATAACCGCACAGCTTACAGAGCTTACCTTTTTTGGCAAGTGATGAATATTAAAAAGGTGACTACTTAAAATTGCAATCCGGTTTCTGAACCAACCAAACATCCCACAAGCCTTCTTTATTACCCATATTAATTTGGTCCAGTGCTGCTACTTCATTTCTTAGGAAGCCAAGCTCTCTTGTCTAAACCTCAAAGATTAGCCTTTCAGCTGGGCTGACCATAGGGCTCTGCAACCAACTAATCGGTAATAATCAATGAGAATAGTTGTCAACTATTCTAATTCACTATTAGTTGGATCCTCTCGCTCTCTCCTCCATGCTGGGAGGAGGGCACAGTAAGCAGCGGGTGCGTGCAATAGCCAGCCTGCTAATGGCTATTGCAATTTGAAATGGCCAATAGCAGGATGGCTATTGCAGCAGCACACTACCTGCTGTATTCACATTCAGCTGCCGTCTGCGGAATCTTGCCACTGGCAGCTGTCATTCTCTTTTCGGTTTCGGCCTGACAAATTCTGATGCAGGAGGTGCAATGGCACCCCAAACGTACCTCCCACCCAGTGTGATTGCATGCACAGAAACGCACGATACCGCAATGCCCTGCATTCCAGTGGAGTGCGATTGCACAAATTGTGCATGCTGTTTTATAATGAAGTAAACTTTGTAACACTGCATTTGTGTATTTCATTTTAAATTAATTAAATTAACTTCCAGAAAGAAGTAGGAAGACTACTATAAATCTTTCACTAGTTTATTGCTAAAAGAACCTTATGGATACATTTCGTGTGTATATAAAAGACAAAAACAATGCACTGGCCTTGTGAAGAATATTAAGACACCATTTAACATAAAAGGTAAAAAACATTCACAATCCAATCAAAAGGACTCATCCAACCGATATCAGAATTCTTTCTTCCAATTCCGAATCTCTCAGTCCACAATCTGACACAACTAAGGACACTGTTACTGCTCCTGTATTGTGTGTTGCAAGTCGATATGTTTCTGGGATGAATTCTCTCCTTCAGAGGCTTTTTGATATACTTCACAAGTGCGTTTTTGCTGTTTTTATATTCTGTAGTGTAATTCTCCAATTTATGATCTAAAGCTGCAGAATGAAATATTTTACCAGCTGATACTAGTGGAAGGGGACTCATTAGCATATAGGTATTGCATCAGTATCAGTACCTTTTGATTGTGCTGAGGATATTGTTTTTCTCTTGTGTGCCACCCCCCCACCACAACGTCTCGCTCTCTCTAAAAAAAATTCATGACCAATAACTATGCTTCATTCTATAGCTCCATACACACCGACGCTAATCAAGTTATCAACCTTTTTTTTCCTGTGCATGTATTACTTATTCTTAATAAATAGTAGAATGTGATTCATGAGGCCAGACCAGCAAGATCCAGTTACGAATCCCAAAGTCACAGAAATGGGTTACCGATCCGGAAGCTGCAAAGTAGCAGACAAGCCTGGACGCAGCCACAAGCATTTGAGAAAATATCCGATGAGAAAAAAAAGTAAAGTACCACACATCTCCATCAGCACAGAAGAGACATCCATCCCCTACAAACACAAGCAGGAAATAGGATTTACTGGAGTGGAAGGGGTTATACGAAGGTCCCCACAATGCTGGCCAGTGTCCAACCACCTGATGATACCTGGATATTACCCATTTGTCTCAGTGTCCTGCACTGTACGATCAAGAAATTATTTTTTAAAATAAAAAAGTACAGTTGTCCTTTAAACCAGACAAAAATGTATTTTGTTTTTGAATAGCAATAAGAAGAGTTACAGCCGCTGTCAGGTTTTTAATGCTCTCTATGTGCTAGGGAAATTTCCCATGACTTCCTCTGAGGACAGGAAGCGGTGGCTAAACCCTTCAACAGGATCACAAACAAAAACAATGTTTTAGTAGGGTAATGATGGGTTATAATGTTATGCAACCTTTTCATTGCAGTCAATGCCTTTCAGGTGTACATAGAGACAGGGAGTGAAAAGTTCTTAATGAAGTCCCAGACAAAAATAAAAATACAGACATTGTAATTCTTTCAAACTTTATAAAAAAAACGACTGGCGTTATGCTTTAAGGATCAACAAGTTCTATAAAGTTGGATATGTTGCCCCTTTCCCCACCATACACATTAATAGGATGCATAAATAATACATGGAACCACACAAGGAATTCTGCTCACTCAATATAAGCCACCTGCTGAGATTTGCAGTGTGAGCAGACTACACATATATAAAGGGATAACAGGAATGTCATCTTTATCATACCACCAGTGCACACTCTTAAATTAAAGGAACATCCTGGGGATAAAAATAAACATCTTATTCCCACCCTGAAGGTAAGCCAAAATCTTACTATGCATATCTTGTGTTAGCTTGCAGCTGTACTTCATTTCACAGATCCGTTTACCTAGAAATCTGCAGCAAATTTGTATTCAGCAGCAACTGGTATAATACCTGCATAAGTCTAGATATTGTTTTAAAAAGTAGTAAAAGGTACTGTATGTGGACAAAATGTTTACTATTTTTTGATGAAAAATAATTGATACATGGATGATCAATACAATTTATATTGGAAGCATAATTAGTCAAATGTTATATTGTAAGCTACAATTTGTTTATTGGACGTTGTGAGCTACTTCATGCGCAACCAACGGAGAATAGAGTGCTGTGATGTGTATGTGCAGGTATAAAGAAGCACGACCTTTTCCCAAACGCATACAGTACATTTTTAAACCATATATACCGGGCTTCTTCATTTCCACATATGCGTCCAGTGCACAAATCTAACACCATTAAGCACAATTATAAATCTCTTTCATCACTGCAGAAATAAGCAGATCTTTCAAACTCCGTGGCATTAGATACAAAGCTGTGATCTTACCATCTGTCACCTCTATTACTTTGGCAGAAATTAGATCCATCCACTCACCATGGAAGTGGGAACGTTCAACTTGCTAACAGTCCACACTCAGGGCCCATTTACACCAATTGCGGTGCGTTCAAGAGCGGTAGCTGCTGGAACGCACAGCAGTCGCACACTAAACTCCCCCCTTCGTTCTGGGGCAGGAGGGGGCGTGGAGGTGCATTGAAGTCAATGGCACCGCAGTCACGACAAGCCTTCCCCCCCACAGTGCGATTGGACGTGTGGCAAAACACTGCCTGCGTTCTGGTCCAGTTCGAATGCAAAAAAAAAAATAACATACAAGTGCTCCGGCAGCTGTCCCCCATGCAGGCACGGGACTGGCATGGTGGGTGTTGGTGGCTGAATTAGAGGCAGATCAGCACAATTCCAGTGGCTGAGCTCCCCTCTGCTTACTGAAACCGAAAGCAACAAGAATGTTATCACTTCGTTTCATGCTGTCATTTCTCTGGCTGCTGTAGCCGAAGAAGAAGCTGGTGAAACACCATTTGTGCTTAATCAGTTTTTTGAGGGTCCATAAGTGACCCCTGATATCTCCATGAAGAGGACCTGTCATGTTTGTGCTATCACATAGAGGGGGGCTTGTTGGCACCCTATGTGGTAGCTATAAATTTAAACGTTAAAAAAAAAAAAAGTTTACAAAAATTATAGTGACATAAAAAAAAAGAAGCCCTTTACTGTCACATACCCACACAAACGTAAATGTGCCCACGTGCACAAACAAGAATTGTATCAATACAGGTTACATATTGCAGAGAACGTCGGAGTGAGAGCAATACATTCTAGGGCCATCACTCACTGTGAACTCTGAATTAATGAGCAGTGAAGAATAAAGTGCCGCCTATAGGCAATTTTGAGTACTGTAGTTTTTTGTAATTTTACGAGCGTGCACAATTTTAGGGCTTGACATGTTTGGTATCTATTTATTTGATACAACCCCATCTTTTCGATTTTACCAAAAATAGCTATTCTATTCTGTTTGCGTTCACTAAAATTGATTTTAGT